AAAGGACACTCGTGGTAATGTGGCGTAATGGTCAATGGGACCAAATACAACCGGGTTCGAGTTCCGATTGGGGTGCTGAAAAGACCAGGTGGAGCGAGATCAAAACTACACGTTCCACTCCGGTCTGAATGAGGATGTCTTTTGAGAAAGCAAGTCTATGCGAAGTCGAATGGAAACGTAAGGTCTACTCTTGAGAATGTGGGAAAATTAAACCACCATTCGCCTTATCACTTTAAACGAAATAGGATGAAGATATCTTATTTGTTGATTTGGCGTGTGATTGATTTACATTGCTAGTCTGTTGTGCGCATGCAATGTCCTTGAGATAAGTGGGATTTGATAGAGAAAACCAGAATTAAGACTAATCAAGTCTCCTCCTCTTGCTCGGCTGAATTTGCTCTTCACACCCTTCTCTCTCTCTCTCGTTCTCTAATCCTATCAAACGGCCACGGATAGTTTCCACTTTATTTTGTAGACTCCTTTCTTCTATTCAGGGCGTTGGGCAATTTGGTGATCCCAATTCATTCCCAAATATTCCGTTTACTTATATTTTCCATATCCAACTAAGCGCTCAGCATTACACTAATCTATTTGGAGTCCTGTTTGTGTCTGTTTTCATGTGCTATTCCTAAAGCCTTCAATAACATGTACACTCTGGCCTCATCTGTAGATCGTCCAGGGTGTGATTCCCATGCCTGCGGGTATTGGGCTCTGCCTTCACGAGCCGTCTCCTTGATCCAACTCACGCACTCTGAGCAAACTGTGCACGTCTGTCTGTTGTCGTGTACTCCTTCTCGAGTGGATTTCTAGTCAATGAAGACACAATGCCAAATTGATGTGACGGTTGTCAGTATCCATTGCCCTGATCATATGGCTATTAGGCCCACAAAATTGATGTTAATTCGAGCAGATCAAGCTGACTGAGAACGTCTTCGCTGGCTGTTCGCAAATCCCTCATACGCTTCTTCTTGGCCATCACTTTTCCTCCACTTAACGATAGGCCTCCGATCCGGGCAGAGAAATTTGGACAAGGTGCACCCAACTAAGTTGCCCTGATAAGAGGATCAAGTTGTGAACTAGAGCAGAGACTACTCTAAATGATATTATTTTTACGTTACAGACATTTGAGGACGTAACGATTCTCTTCAGCGACGTGGTGGGCTTTACGAAAATTTGTTCAAAACTGACGCCAATGGGAGTACTTAAAATGCTGAATGAGTTATTCTCACTATTTGATAAACTGACGGAGAAGCATAAAGTATACAAGGTGAGAGGAAAAAAAATATAGAAGTCAATGGTAGCATTAAAACAATAAAAGTTTAAAAATGTTGATGATAAAAAGGGATAGGATATAAAATTAAAAAAGAGGAGAAAAAATGAGATTAGATTAGATTAGATAAAATGAGATAAGATGAAATGAGATAAGATGGGATGAAATGAGATGAGAAAAGAAGAGATGAGAAAGATGAGATTAGATTAGATTAGATGAGATTAGATTAGATCAGATGAAATGAGATAAGAAGAAATGAGATGAGATGAGATGAGAAGAGATGAAATGAGATTAGATGAAATTAGATAAGATTAGATGAGATGATATGAGATAAGATGAGATAAGAAGAGAAGAGATGAGATGAGAAGAGATAAGATCAGATTAGATTATATGAGATTAGATTAGATGAAATTAGATAAGATGAGATGAGATGAGAAGAGATGAGATGAGA